AAAGTTATGAAGTAGCAAAGAAAAAATTTTTATTGTTGGGGTCACCACAACATGAGGAACTGTATTACAGGGTTGTCATTAGGAAGGTTGAGAACCACTGGTGTAGAGAGGTGTATTGGTGGGCATCCTATCTCTCAAAGGCTACCTAATATTCCCTTTCCATCCAATACCTACCCCACTGTGTTCCTCATTCCCACCTCCCTTTACCACATCTTGCAACTATAGAAAACTCTTTTAATTGTTATGGAAATAATGAGATCCCGGAATGTGTTGGCCCATCTTCGGGCTGTCTGGCTCAGCAGTCATGTCCTTAAGCAGGACACTTCTGTGTGATCAGTCAATTCAAGGAGTAATTGTCAAAATCTTAGGACCCTGTATCCGTATCTATTTTGACACCATCTGTGCTGAGAGCCTACTCAATAGCATCTATCAATTCTAGGCTCAGACCTCATGTTATGGATGGAGAACCTGGGGCCAAGGGAGGGAAAGGTGGAGACCTTTATGTACTGAATCCTCTCTATACCCAATCATTTGCTGGGAGCATTACATACTTATCTTTTTAGATTTAATTTAAGCAGGATCAAGTTAAACCTAATGTAGCATCAAATTACCTCATTTTAAAGATGAAAGAATGAGGTCGTGGAAAAGTTAATTGTTTTATGTTCTTGTGGAGAGGCAGAGACTAAATTAAGGTTTTAAGTCTTTCACGTATCCAACATCTGTGGACTCATGCACGGTTCCCACCCTCTGCAACCTGTGCTAGCTAAGCTAGTTGGAACAAAGCTGAAAATACAATTAATATCTTTTAATTCTGAGTGCCCTCTTATTATTATCTTTATTATGACATTCCCATAATTCTTATGACCCATCCAAATGATAGCATTAGTAAAAAGCAAGACATGTACAATTTACACAGTTGAAAATATATGTACACATAGGCGGTGGAAGCAAAATGTTTGATCTTAGATCTAAAAAAAGGAGATTGCATAAACTTCTGCAGCAGAGAGGAAGGGGTGCTCTGGGGGTTGTCTCAGAAAGGTGAAATATGATGAACTTGATTGACTGGAAAATTACATATTGAGAATCTAACATGTACTTGAGGATGTGCTTGGTGTCGGTGAGTGGGGTGTGAAAGCAGTTAGAGTCATAGTCTCCAGACCTGAGAAATGTTCCCAGGCGAGTCAGAATGAAGTATGACTCATGCTGGTGAATAATACAAGGCAGAATATATTGCTGTGTTTCATAATGTCGAGTATTAGTGCTGGAGTGTTGGAAGGAACATAAATGCTTTATATGTGCTTTGGTGTTTGGGCAAAGCTTCAAGTGGGATGTGGTCTGGGGCTAGGCATTTGGTGGCCCGTTGGATTGTTCAGCTGAGAGTGTTGCCCAGAGGGGTGAGACTATGGGGACAATGGCGGAGATGAGTATGGACTGTGGTTGGCCATTAAAAAGATTTTCATAAAGAATATGGAGGGAAGAGTGTTGAAAAATACAACACAGCCCCATATTGCTAAGCTCAAGTAATGGCACCATGACCAATCCATTCAGTCACACATCATCATACAAGTTACATAATCTCGTGTCAATTTAGGTATTGAGAGAATTAAGAATGAAGGGGTGGAGTCTAGTCTGTCAATCAAGTCATAGCCAATGAGGCCTCTGTGTGGGCATGGCCTTCTGAGGATTCTGGGAACTCTGGGATTTTTCTCCTTGGCAACCTCAGCAATGCCTTCTGACACTGAGAATGTGCTAGTTGTATTGTGGGCAATAGACTGGATACATAGACTGTTATTGGATGTGTCCAGATGAAATCCCACATTTAGTGTGGCATCAAAAAATAGACACTCTAGGATTTCTTTGTTGTGCAACATGTATGCGAACTGGACGAATGTCGAAGCACCAGGATCTGTTGTGAGATGACTGAGAGAAGTCACTTTTGGCTTTTTTCGTTTTTTTTAATTGTATATTTCTTGGTTGAAGACCAGGACCAGTGATGCGCAGGGTCTGGTAGGCAGGCGCTAGCTGAATTGAAGCGAATATCTTCCCTCTTCTCCAGTTAGGAGATAAGCAGATTGACAAAGGGATAGATGCATGCTTAGATAGGGAGATAGGAAGGTAGGGAGGTAGGGGCTGATGGATATATTTCAGAAAGTTACTTTTGGAGAACATGATTTTAATGCGGCTGAAGAACGTAGGAGGAAGAATGGACCGCCCACAGAACAAACATCTGCTTTGGACGAAGCGCAGCCACAACATTCCTTAGAGGCAAGGATGGGGAGACTTCACCTCACAGACTCTGGACGTGTGGTCAGGAGAGGCCAGTCCCTGGAGAAGGACATTGTGCTTGGTGAAGTAGAGAGGCAGTGATTGACACAGGGGCTTCCGTAATGAGCTAGCTCAAACCTAAGCACGGTTGTGAGGCTGGCCCATGACCGGACAGCGTGATGTTGTCTTTTACATCGGCGTACTATTAGTCGAAACCCACTTGACAGTACCTAAAAACAAATTTCCAACGACTGCAAGGTCCCTCAGGCACATCTAACTGTCTATTAGTCTTAGAAATTAAGGCAGCTTTTCTACACAGGCAGAGTGAATAGTGTTTCCACAGGAAATGTAGGCGACTAATGGGCACAAAATGCCCACAGGGCTATAGGTTTTGACGGTTGACAGCCCAGCCAGAAGTGATTATTTCTCCTCTGAGGCTCTCATGTGAGTGGGCAGAGTGCTGTTATATGGACAAGATCGCAACCAATGCCATGAACCAAACGTTGCCCAAGTCATTGAGTGGAAAATGAACATGCGCTTTAAACTTTCTGTAAAAACAAGAAGAAAAAGAAAGAATCCCTTGGAGAGCCCCTCAGAGAGGTACCTCTCTAGACGATATCAAGTATTGGCTTCAACTTCTTGTAACTATTCTTTCCAGGGACCACTGTAAGTCTGCTGAATGTTCTTTATGGCCCCACTGCCAGCTGCCTCACACAGAACCACATAATAGGGATATATCTATATATATATGCTCTAGTGCATGCTTCTGAGGATATTTATGCAAGCCCACAGCAGTGCACAGTGTTTCTCATCTAGTTTTTAAGGTGATAATCTAACCAGTCTATGCCCAGCGTTGCAGTCCATCTTGGTGCAGTGGTTATGTGTGGTGCTGCAATCCTCAAGGTCTGAAGTTTAAAAACTACCATGAGAAAGATGGGGCCTTTTTACCCCTGTCAACAATTACAGTCTCAGAAACTGGCAGGGGGATTCTACCCTAACCCATGGGGTCACTATGAGTCAGCTTTGACTAGATGGCAGTGAGTTTTCTGACCAGATGCCAATACAGACATTAACAATTCATTATGCCTTTTGGGAACACATTTTAAGTTGTGATTACGCTCCACTACTTAACCAATCTTTTATAAATAACACTACTAATGGATCATGCATACAGATTATAATATTTTTAGAGTGTTCCTACACTCTTATTTTCCTACTCCTTCCAGCAGGTGGACCATCCCAGATAATAGTATAGTGGCTGTGTTTTCTTCACAGGTTTGTTTTTCCCACTCTACCTCTTCCACCTCCTTCCTTCCCCGGGGGACCTGGTCCTCACAGCCCAGAGAGGGCAGGGGGAACTGTAATCAATTGTCATTCTCACAAGGGTCGTTTCCTGAGTCTGTTGGTTAAGGTCTTTCTCTGAGGCCATTTCCCATCCTTTCTCTTCTTTCTGTCATTCGTCTTTCTGTGCTTTGGCAAGACCTTCTCTTCAGCTTACTTGAGAGCTTAGGCGGCCAGAATGAGGAAATCCGGGTTCAAAGTGCATTTCACAATGTCAAGATTTCATCAACTATTCTACTCCCCAAGCTCACCTCCCTAGCCCAGAATGACCAATGAAACCTGGTAGAAGGAGAGTACTCAGGCAGAGCTCAGAAGGAAAATATCCTCTACCCCACTCCTATAACTTATCTTTAGAGGCTTTCGATATGGGGAGGAAAATGGTTCATTCCAACCCATTTTGACTTCTGAAAATAAAATAATAGAAATGCATGTTTTGGAAGGAAATTGGCTCCCATGTATATGGCCTTAATATTTGATCTCGTTCCTAGAAAGAATGTAGCAAAACAGAACAAAATAAGTATGAAAAGCAGGTTAAAGTAGATAAAATCACCAGTGAACATTGAGAAATAGAACTTGAACTTTGAAAAAGAAGTACTTTCACTTTTCTATATCCATGGAAGGAATCTAGAGTTTTTTTATTTAATCATTTTATTGGGGCTCATACAATTCAACACAATACATACATCAATTGTGTAAAGCACACCTATACATTTGTTGCCCTTATTATTCTCCAAATTCCTCAAAATTCCCAACACTTTCCTTTTGGGTTCCCGGAATCAGCTCATTTTCCTTTCCCTCACTCCCTCCCCCTCCCCGATGAACCCTTAATAATTTATAAATTATTATTATATCTTATCTTACACTGCCTGGCGTCTCCCTTCACCCACCCCTCTGCTGCCCATCTAGAGTTTAAGCTGAAAACGTGGAGTAAGACCAGCCCTCCTTCAAAGCTAAAGCAAAAATGTACTACATAGGTCATGTTTCTATTTTTTGCAAGTATCATAAGATTTCCTAATTTTACATAGCACTTGAACCTTTGTTGATTCTGTGGGTTACAGTGTTTTCTCACATAATTTCACTTGATAACAGATAATCTAGACAAGTAATATAGACCTGGCTTTTCTTTGAGTCAGCGGTGGCCTTTGTAGATTTCTTCGTCTTCTTTTTGTGTTTAAGTTTCCTTTTTTTCTCTCTTTCAGATCTCTAGCTTCATTAAGAGCACCGTCTTGAAGAAGAGGAAGCGGCTCTGCCCTCTGCAGGGCTGTATCCTGGGATTATTCGCTTGTGGCTCACTAGCACTGAAAGAGGTCAAGGATGTTTTCTAGAGCAGGGTAGGCTTGCCTGGCCACAGGTGAAGTTTCTCCTGGTGCGGGTTTCCTTCGACCCGAAGGATCATGGCAACCGCCAGAACGGTCTCACGATCTCGGGACATTGCCAATGTGATGCAAAGACTGCAAGGTAAGGAACGTGTCAATCCCAGCTGATTCCAGACATCTGGAAGTTTGCTCGCGTTTTCCTTCAATTCTGCGTAAGGGCAGCAAGGACTGGCAATTGTGTCTCTTATGCCAGTGCTTTCGCTAGGATGTGTTGTCACAAAATGCTATCAGTATGCGTGGAAATGAGACAGAGGCAGGGTCTCTCTTTCTCTCTGTGTGTGTGTGTGTGTGTGTGTGTGTGTGTGTATGAGAGAGCGAGAGAGCGTGAGAGCTATGCTATTAACCTGCCATAATCCCACTTTCTTTGATAATCATGTGTGTGATGCTCACAGCAGTCATTGGCTGGCAAGCACTCTTGACTTTCAAAATACAGACCCAGCCCTTCAAGCTGGACCTTGATGGCCCAGCACGTGCGACGAGCTGTAGAAAGCCAAGAGATCATAGAAACTGGATGTTTCTCCGACTGCCTTGGTGCCATTCATCTGTCTGAGTGCTCTTGTAGTCAAGCTGGTTCTGTCTGGGGCGGATCTGTGATGCTGCAGTGACCCAGGGTGAACGTCACATTTATGGTTAAACTATCCCACTCACCATGCCAGGGAGAACCTCATTAGATAAAACTGCAGATCCTTGCTACCTGTAGAGACACAGATCTCCTGCATAAGCTGGAAGATTCTCCGACTGATGATCCTAGGGCCAAGAAACTCTGGTTTAAAATGTGCATCTCACTAGGTTGATGGGACCCTGAAAGTGCAGTTCCATCCCTCTCCCTACGTCTGTCTTTACTGTTCGCCCTGAAGAAGTGACCCAACATTTTATGTCTCTGTGACATCATCGGCAATTCGGTGGACAGAAACCCTATGAATCCCTTAAGGGAAGGCGGGGGAGGTAAACTAGGCAAGAAAGCACATTTTCCTCTGGGCCGAGTTACTGTGGCAACGCTTCGGATGAGACACATGTTGATAGTAAAGAAAGAGTTGCAAAGAGCAAATCTCTGAAGACTCAGTCCGCACCAGATTCTGGCTCTGCAAGCGCAGCTTGTACGAGTGACCTTGATTGAGCTTGAATGGCAATCATGGTGTTACCTCGGTGGTTAGCGGGTGAGCGGACCGGGAGGGACACGGATGCCAGATGTTTTTGTGCTCAGCGATGGACATCTACATGACTCTTTCACAGAGGTGTCTGCAGAATGCGTGAAAGAACCAGAGCCCCTGATTCATGAACCCTTTGGCAGCGTACACCCTGTTTCATTTTGCATCCCTGTGCTCCGTGCCCCGTTGGAATGTGTGGAACACACACCTTGATCGGCCCTCTCAGGATGGTTGTGAAGCTCATTGAGGTGTGGTCGAAGCTATGAGCACTATGCTGCGGTGAGCTATTCCAACAGACACGCAAGAGAGGTGGAAGACAAGGCCAGGCCTGAATATATGGGTAGATTTGGGCGAATGCTATTGGTCTTCATGTAGATGGTGGTGTAGTGGTTATGCATTGGGCTGCGCAACCCACGTGATTGGCAGTTTGAAACCACCGGGAGTTCAGAGGGAGAAAGACTGGGCTTTCTACTCGTGTAAACAGTTACACTTTCGGAGGGTCGCTAGGATTCAGCATGGACTCGATGGCAGCAAGTGAGTTCTACATAGAAGTAGTGATGTTATGACCTAGTGAAGCGACGACACTTTCTGATTGTGATTGTTTTCCCTTCGTAATCAAAGAACGGAAAGGCATGCGCCCTGGTGGTGTCAGGGGGAAGCACTGAAATGCTAACTGAAAGGCCTGCTCTTGGAACCACGAGTGACTTACAGGAGAGAGCACTGATGACGAGGACAGATGTAACTGTCCACTTCCATCAACATTAGACACCCTGTGGGGCCCTTCTACTCTGCCCTTGTTATGTTTCCACTTGCTATGGCTCTGTAGAGACACATGTAACCATCTGGGTAAAATCTATGTGTTGTTATGCACTATCACAGATGCTGTCGAGGCTATTCATGGTGTCTCCATAAAGTCCATGGTGTCTCCATATAGTCTCCATATAGGCTACTCATGGTGTCTCCATAACAACCCTATGTCCAATAAAACGAGCAGAACAAAACACTGCTTTGTATGTATGCATGTATATACACACAATATATATCTATCACCAAATCTGTGGCTATTGAGCCAGTTCTACTCATGGTGACCCCATAAGTGGCAGAGTAGCAGTGCTCCATGGAGTTTTCTTAGCTTTCATCTTTACAGAAGCCAGTCAGCAGGACTTTATTCACACACACACACACACACTCACTCACTCATGCATATATTATTGATAGCTGTAAAATGCAAAATCTACTCTACAACAAATGCGTCAATGGAAGTCAAGGGAATTGACAGAAAGTGAACATAATGTGATGTTGGATCTGTGATCACACTGCTTTGCTGGTTCACTCACTGAGATGAGTGCCCTCCTTCCTCCGTTCCCTGAATGCTTTTGCCGCACACGAAGGCCAAGCTCACTGGAGAGAGGAGTCCCAGTCTTCTGTCAAGCACATACAGTCGTCCATTGTGCCTGTCTACTGGAACCTCCAAAGGAGTGACCTAGTAACATAAAGGACTGGCATTATGGTCTGATAACTCAAGCAAGTGCATCTATTTATCCTACTCTCTTAAATCAAATCAGATGGGCTATTTCTAATGTTCAAATTGATGGGATCATTCTTCTAGAACCTCTCTTTGCCTGCATAGATAATCCATCTCACTGTGGTATTGTTTCTATTTGGGCTTTGTTGTCTGAGCAGAACCAGCTATTGCTCCTAAAGAAGAGGATGCATCTTTGAATAACAGGCTCATTGTGTTGATTTGCTTAGTTTACAACCATAACTGTTGACTATTTTCCTGCTTTTAACTTTTATTTCTAGTGCTAGGAAATTAAAGCCTAACACAAACTGCTACATCATTTAGCTGGTACAGCAGCAGATCAATATTTAACCTTTGCCGATGTTGGTGCTTGCCTGAACAGAATGTTTCAGGCTGGGATCCTGAATTATGAATGAGCAGTCAGACTGCAATGCAGATTCTCATTTGCTCCTCAAAATGATGAATGTTCCCATAACTTTAATCAATTTAAATATAACAGCAAACACAGAACAACAGTACAATACAGAGGTATTCAAATTCTGAATACCCATAATTAGTACATATTTTCTGCTTTAAGGGATAAGGAAGGGGATCCATTTTAATACATGGCTTGTGGAATCTCTAAATTCACAGTCCTATTTGAAGGAACAAAAGGCTGTACTTTTCATATTACAAGTGCCTTTAATAGAATCTTTCATTGCTCTTGGTCCTTTTTCATAGTGTTTCTGCCTAGCTTTGGTGTAAAAAGTGTTCGTTCCGAGTGATCTTTACCAATAGCACTCCTCCCTTTGAAGATGATTTGTTCAGCTTTGTCGATGTGAAAATTGATGCACCAGGCTTCCTTAAGGTGAGACCAAGTGACATCACACTGTCCTGTAGAGCAAGTGTTCAAACGCCAGAAATGGTTCCACTGTGCCTGCTGGGGTGTCACATGGAGAGAGGCTAAATTTAAAAAAAGCTGGGGGGTGGGGGGAGCCCTGAAAGGTCAAACTTTGTCTTTGGCCTTGGAACCAAGTCAAAGAGAAGTCAAGGACCAAAGAGAAGAGCTTTCACCCTTGGAGAGAAAGATACCTGTGACATTTGCAAAGTGACCCCTGCCAATTAATTATGATCTCCCTGTAAAAAAACAAACAACTTTTAACAAGTCATTTTCAACATTTATTACATAAGTATAATCTTCCCTATGAATCCGTGACACCGTAAAAGAAAAACACAAAAGAATAGAAAAGTAGAACCAGGCAATCATGAAATAGCAATGAAATCAGGAGAGGGGACAGTGCCTTGGAACAGGAGTTACACGGGAGATGGAGAATTTGTAAAATCCTAAATATTTGTCGAATGTAAAACCAAAGTAATTTTCTGATGGCTTGAATGTGGTTGGCCACTTATCACTTTGAGAAATGCAAAGATTCCTAGGAGGAGGAAATGAAGAGTTTGGTGTGGGCATGTTACATTTTATCCTCCTAATAGACATCCACAAAGCAGTTGGAGATAAGACTAGATGAAGGAAAAGATACAGATGGAGTGGGGAAAAAAACTCTTGACATTATCAGCACATAGTTGGCCTCTCCCAGAAAGGGAGGCTAGAGAGCAAAGAGGTAAGGGTTGAGAACCAGGACACACAGCATCGGAAGAAGGGAAGTGGAGTGGAAGGTTACTACATATGAGACCGAGAAGTTACAGCCAGTGGTAGGAAGAGAGAATGAAAACCTGGAAAAGAAGTCAGGAAAATGATCAAGGAATGTGTGAGAAGTTCATTACTTTTGCTGGTGTATGTATGTGCAAGATCATTTGTAATATATAGGATGGTTATGTGTGTTTGACATGACTAGTACATACAAGCGCAAGTTTGTATAAAACCAACACCAAACCCATGGCCATGGAGCCAATTACTACTCATTGTGACCCTGTAGGATAGAGTAGAACTGATCACTGGGCTTCTGAGACTGAAAATTCCAGCTAGACCAGAGAACTTCATTTCCCTCCTGCAGAAGGGCTGGTGGGTTGAACCAATGACTTTGTGGTTTGTAGTCTAACACTTAACCCACTATGAGACCAAGGTTCCTTGCGAGTGAGTATAGTTAAGTATAATTTTTAGAAGAAGAAAAAAATGGCTGAGTTAGTTAGTTTATTGTGCCAACCTGGCCGATAAGCACATGTGGGATTAAATGAAAGGTGGAGGGATAAATGTCTCAGTGAGCCTCGCCTTTCTAGTTCTCTGGTCTCTTGCTTTGTGATGGTCGCACCAGAGTGCAGCTGCCTTAGCAGTTCCCTGCTTCAGCTTGCAGGGCAGACTTCCTGCAAGACATCCCCAAGGAGAAGCCACTTGGACCTACCCTGATGCAGCCCTGGGTGTTGGAGCAGCCATGTGGAGACCCCTGCAAACACTGAGATGCTTACACATTCACTGACTTGGCTTTCCTCCTGCAGTTGGCATCATTGCGTCTGTTTTGTGAGATGGAGGAGGACTTTGTGGATTGGTGTTGGACATATGGGTTAATGGGTTAATGTTGGACTTGTGGGCTTGGGCAGCATTGGGTTCAGATGTTTTCTTGATGCACACTTAATCTTTATATAAAACTCTCTTATACATGAGTTGCTGTGGATTTGTTTCTCTAAAGTACCTAGACTAATACAATGGCCCTTATGTATTGTTCCTAAAGGGTAGAGAGGCTCTTAAAAGTTAATTGCATAAAAAAATTCCTTAAAAGAGTATTAAGTATCATTTGGCATTGTAGATAGAGCTCAATCACAAATGTGCCCTAAGGATAAAAGTCTCTTAAATCAGGCACCAATCACTTCTTGTCGAGTTTGGAGTCCTGGTAGAACTGACAGATGGTCCCAGGGAGAGTCAGTGATGCTCCTGGTGGTTCCATTTGGGCATGTATGTGACTGTCCTCACTCAATGCCTTCCTGTTGTGTGCCTCTCCTTATCTCATCTCTCGCTCTTCCCACCCTCTCTGTTATTTTTCTACATTCTTTTCATATAGCATGACCAGCATCATTACTGCTCATGTGCAGAGAAGCTCACTGTAGAATCAGCAGCATCTATTTTGATTGTTTTGACTGTTGTTTTTTTAGCTCCTCTACTCTCCTGAAATACAGCCCTGGTAGTGTAGTGGTTATGTGTTGGGTTGCCATTTGCATAGTCAACAGTTCAAAACCTCCAGCAGCTCTGAGGGAGGAAGACTGGGCTTTCTATACCTGAAAACAGTTACAGTCTCAGAAACCTACAGGGGCCACTATGAGTCAGCATTGACTCAATAGCAATGAGTTCTGATTATTTTCTTGAAAAGAAAATATCCCACTACAGGTGTTTGGCTTATCTGAAACATCCTGAGGACCTGGGATTTATTTCTTTTCCATTGTGACTAAGCATTGCCGTTGTCAGTTGCCATAGGGTCACTTCCGATTCACGTCGGCAATGGCCTCCTGTGTGCAGACAGGATCTGTTCCATAGGGTTGTAAGGGTTGTGTCCTTTCTTCCAACTTGCAGTTAGATAGGTTCAAACTATTTGCACCACTCAGAAACACCTTCCCTTAGCCCCAAATACTATAACTGAATTTGAGAAAATTCCCATCAACCCCTATGGTGACAGTAGCAGCGTATCCCTTTCTAAAATTGTCAGTTCAGCTGCAGAAGGCTTACTGATCTGCGCTTGTAAAGATCACAGCCAAGGAAACCCGACAAAGCACAATTGCACCCAGTGACGCGAGTCTTCATCAAGTCTTAGTAAGAGGAATGAAGACCACTCAGGTGCCCATGAACAGTAATGTATTCTATTAATGTATCACTTGGTAAAACATACCTATAAAACAAAACACAATAGACTTTAAATTCCAGGTGATGACTTCCCTCAGATATCTTAAGAAACACCCCCAAAAATCACATATCATGTTATGTTAGTACTTTTAAAACAATTGAGACTTATGAAGATACTGCTTCCTTGTTGTACACGGTTCCGACTCATAGCAGCCCATGGACAACAGAACTAGACTTTGCCTCCTGTGCCATCTGGACCATGGTTGCTGTTTGAGCCGACTGCAGCCACTGGGTCAGTCTGTCTGGTTGAGGGTGTCCTACTTTTTCTTGACCCTTTACTTTATCAAGCAGGATGTCCTTCTCCAGAGACGGGTTCTTCCTGATAGCACGCTCAAAGCACGGGAGATGAATGCTCACGATCTTTCCTTGTAAAGAGCGTTCTCACTGTACTCTTCTAAGACATATTGATTTCTTTGTTCTTCTGGCAGTTCATGGTACATTCACTATAATCCAGAGTCATCGGTTCTTCTTTGGTTTTGCTTATTCATATTCCAGTTTTTACATGGACAATTAGCGATGGAAAATACCATGGCTTGAAGAAAATACCGTGGCTTGGGCCAGGTGCACTTTAGTCCTCAGATGGATATCTTTTGCTTTTCCAAACGGCACAGAGGTCCTTTTGTGGACCCGGGTAATATTCTGTTTGATTTCACGACTGCTGTTTTCATGGGCATTGGTTGTGGATCTAAGTAAAACAAAACCTTTGACAACTTCAGTCTTGTGTTGTCCGGGTGGACTAGAGAAACAAATACATAGACACAAAGTCCTCTTCGGACTCACGAAACACATGCAATGATGCTGAATGCAGGATGATCACAGGCCAGTGGGTAGAAAGTCTTGTGGATCCAGTGGTAGTGTAAACATCTCAGCGCTGGCTGTGGTCTTCACGTGGCTTTTCCAGCTCCGAGGCTCTGGCTGCCATCAGCCTGTCTCCATGTGGCTTTTCAACAAAAATGTCTCGCAGGGACTGACCATGTGTACATGCCTCCAATGAGCTATTTATCTCCTTAAAGCCTCCAAATGACGTCATCAAGGTGCAATCTGAGTGACAGGCTCCACCCCTTCACTCTTATTCCTCTCAAATTGACAACAGATTATATAACTACCACACGTCTTTTCTCCAACTATCATGATGATGCTTATTGGTCCAGTGGTGATTTTTGTTTACGTTGAGATTTATTCCACACTGAAGGCTATATTCCTTGATCCTCCTCAGTAAGTGCTTCAAGTCTTCTCAGCTTTCAGCAAGCAAGGTTTGGTTTTCTGTCTATGGCAGGTTGCTAATGGGTCTCCCTCCATTTCTGATGCCACATTCTTCTTCATACAGCCCAGCTTCTCACATGATTTGCTCAGCATGCAGACAGGGTACATATGCTATATAACCCTGAGGAATACCTTTTCTGATTTTCAAACAATGGTATCTTTTAGCTCTGTATGAATGACTGATGACCTCTTGAGCTATATATATAAATACACCTTATGAATCCAATTGAGCATTCCAGAATTCCCACATTTTTCATTGTTATCCACAATTTGTTATGATCTGCACATTCAAATGCCTTTGCGTACTCAATAAAACTCAGGTAAACATCTTTGTGGTACTCATACCTAAATACTTTTTAATGATCTTTTTTATCTTAGTTTGTAGTATATTTAGTAATTATTCATCATCGTTAAAGAATTTTGCCCTCATTTATTTAGAATTATTGAGAACTTACCGAGTAAGAATATCTTCAGCTATTTCACTATATACAGAACATTAGTCCATTGATAATTTTCTACTTACTATTTTCAAATAAAGAAATGTAAACATCGGACAGAAGATGTTGGTGGCTACCCCAAACAGGTTCAGGGTCAAATGGTTCACAAAAGATTTTTTTATGTGCTTGCATATAGTGTAGTTTGCTTCAGTAGTTTAAAAGTGGTTTCTGCAGTAATTTCTGTTCTTTCTTATTATTCTCTTCACAGTGACCTCTTGGATTCAAAACAAACACTTTCTTCCTCTTCTGATATTATTCTTTCAT